AAAAAAAAATCCGGCCCTTTCAAAAAGGAAAAAAAAACGAGCCCTTTCAAAAAGGCTGATGTGGCCGGAGCCGGAGCTCAGAGCTGTAATTCGGCCGGAGCCGGAGATGAAAAACCGGAGTTTGCACAGCACTACCACAGCTCGTTGATATGGAATTGGACAATATCAGAATTAAACTGATTACTGTGGATCAACTCAGAAACATTGCTTGCTCCCCAATGTACCATGTAATCTGTGAACATATTGGCACTTTCTTACAGGGTATTGAAGAGGTTCGACCAGTTGGTTCTTACAAAAAAGGCACAATGTTGGCAGGCCATCCTGTCGCTGATCTGGCTGTCATACTAAAAAAATTACCGACATTATAATATCATGGGATTGGACACATTTCCTATACATTTTTGTTTTGTTTTTATAAAGCTGAACACATCCAACAAGTGGCGGACAGGATTCTTAGTGGACTTGGTGAACCTACTTTAGGTTTAGAAGGTAAAGTAATTAGTTTGTTGAAAATATAGTTTGAGATACCACTTGTGGTTTTTTCTCAACATAGAAACCAGGACTGGAAATGTATGGCCTCACCATAGTTTTATTCTGTTTTAGATGTTGCTCTTCAAGTAAACGAAGGAGGTTTGTGGAGTTAATTTAATGGAATATTTGTGTTGTACTTTGTCTCACAATTTATGTAAGGTTCAAAACAATGATGTTCTTATTCGCTTTCTAGGTTTTAATTTAAGTTCTGGAGGTGTAGTTGTAAGGATATTGATTACGACTTTACCCAAAAATCTTCGTGAAGCAAAAGCAGATACACACGGTGAGCATAAGAACAGAAAACAAATATATACACATAACTGCTTTTGTGTGTTAACCCATTATGTTGCATTGTGCCATACTTTATTATTTTACTCTGTCTAATGCCAGATGATTTTATTTGTAAAGGGGAGCGTGCTGGTGTTCAAAATGGGTTGTTAAAAACTTGTAAAGCAAAAGTGCCTCAGAATAATATGTAACTCACTGAAACTGTTCTTTGTTGGTTTAAATATTTCAGTTGATGTGAAACTCCTCGAAGGTGCGTTAGCAACAATTCGTCACTCGAGATGGTTTGAAGAAAACGCCTTCCACACAACGTAAGTTTTAATTTGAGTATGATGAAACTACCCAGAGACTAAAAATGGTCTCTTTAACTGTAGTGTCTAGAATTCCTTCATGTTTTTTTGTTACAGAGTTCGTATTCTGGTTCGAATAATGAAAGATATGAAAAACAGATTCAATACAACTGGATTACAGGCACTCACACCTTGGCTCATTGATCTTTTGGTAATGAAAGTTTTCTTGGGAATTGGCGTTTTATCACGTGAATGATTCTAGTCTGTATTCTTGAGTAATGAGAGTGAGTTCATTGCTTCTTTATTTGCAGGCACACAGGGCGACAGTTTCAGTGTCGAACGAACCAGTCACAATTAATGTCGCGTTCAGGTATGGTATTAACTTAAACTGTAGATGAATCATCTGTCTAGCTGAATGTTTATAAAATAGCTCAGCTGATATCTTGTGTGTGCATAAACATTAGAAAACTACCATTATTATCTATCACTCGAGGTCTGAGCTGTATGTGCAGTTTGTCTAGAAACTATAAAGCCGTAGCATGTATAGGTCACCTTGATGGATGGTCCATCTACAGTTCTGTACAAATAGATCATGAGACGGAAACAAAACGATACAAGAGTCAAGATTACTGTAGGCCATGCTAGTTTTGATGTCAGCGAAGTGCTTCCTATAAATATTCAGGAATAACATTTCAATCCAACTGTTTTAGCTGTGGATTCAGAAGTGCAGCTAAAACCCCCGCCACCCCTGAAGGGGGATCTGAAGAGAAGATGGAAACAACAGCTTCGTGAAGTGAGAACATTTTATGCACAGAACATCATTGCCACCAGCAAGCAACAAATTCTACTATAGGTAGTACAGTTTTACTTTGACGTGAACTTCTTGTAAAAGTGAACATGAGACACCATTCCCCAACATTTTATGTATTTTAGCATTATTTGTAGTTTGTAAAATTTTCTTCATTTAATTAATAAAATGTGTAACTAAATTTATTTATACTGGATAACTCTATCAGTTCTAAACTGTTCTTCCTAGAGGTCTAGTAAGGATCATCTCTTATTGATCCAGTGTTACTACAGGAGGAAACCTAAACTAAGCTAACTTTATACTGGATATATAGCTCTATCAGTTCTAAACTGTTCTCCTTAGAGCTGCAGTAAGAATCATCTCTTATTGATCCAGTGTTACTACAGGAGGAAACCTAAACTAAACTAACTTTATTTATACTGGATAACTCTATCAGTTCTAAACTGTTCTCCCTAGAGGTCCAGTAAGAATCATCTCTTATTGATCCAGTGTTACTACAGGAGGAAACTTAAACTAAAAAGCAACAATTAGAATAACACCAGTAAACTGTGTCGGCTGAGCAGGGTGCGATCATTCCAGATTTCTAGTCGTACCTGACTAGTATGAAAAGAGTGTTTTGCTATTTGAAATGGGTGTTTTGCTATTTGAAAAGGGTGTTTTAGGATAAACACAGTTAAGAAAATAATATCACAATTGTTGTAAAGTTGAAATAGTAAAACACTTAAAACTGTCTCATGCAAGGCTGCTTTGACAACTCTAGTCGAAAAACTATTACACCAAGAAGCAAAACACCGGGTAATGCAATAGACCTTTCCCCTTTTGAGTGAAATTTGGATCTAAACAACCCTAGACAAAAATTTCATTATACAGCTTGAAAGAGCATCACAAAATTAGTAATATTCCGAAGTTTCGTTGCGAAATGTTGTAAAATACGGATAATATAGCCCTGCGAAGTTTGCCGTTTTTCAGTCATTTTGTATTACGCGCAGGAAATTTTCCGAAAGCGGTATCAATTTCCCGTGCGTAATACAAAATGACTGAAAAACGGCAAACTTCGCAGGGCTATATTATCCGCATTTTACAACATTTCGCAACGAAACTTTGGAATATTACTAATTTTGTGATGCTCTTTCAAACTGTGATGAAATTTTTGTCTGGACTTATCTAGATCAAAATTTTGTTCGCTGGGGAATAGGTCCATTAACGAACGGTGTTCTTGTTTTCATTTTTTAGACTCCATTAAAGGTGAACGTACTGTCTCACCCAAGATAGAAAAACTGTCGATTAAGAACTTCGTTACCGTGAACGCTCCTAAATCAAACGCGAGCAAAACAGTAAACCCAATCCAGACTGGTGGTGAAAACGGCAGCCAAAGAACTAAAGAAACTGCTCCGCGAAGAGTCGGTTTTGTTAGTGTACAGCCCACGAATGTCGCCACTCCCGTTGCTATGACAACTGTTTCTACGACAGCACAGCCGCGCGCGGTTACAACTCTACGCCAGTGCCTTTAGAGCCAAAGATCATTGTCATCAATGATTAAATCTACTTAAAAACTAACACGAAAGCCTGGAATTTGGTCGTGACTGTCGTCGTGGCTGATTTACACTATACAATTTTTGCCTACAACTGTCGCATGCAACGTGCTTACAACTTGAGTTGTACTGTGTAAATCAAACACACAACTCACCTACGACACTACACAATCAGTTGCCTAAAACTGTCGCATGCAACCTGCTTACAACTTGAGTTGTACTGTGTAAATCAAGCACACAATTTGCCTACAACAACGTAGGCTACATAGACGACAGTGGCCGTGGCACCGAGTATGAGAGAAAATAACCTGGGTACGAGGTTGGACGACAGGTTGACTGCGACAGTTTAGGCAAAAGTTATGTAGTGTAAATTGGCCTTAATGGGTGCTAAGTGCATCAGTCATATATTGACAGTGTGTTATGCAGCACAAACAATTGTTGTAAAGTTTATGTTCTTTTGGGCAAGACAGTCAGTAATCCCAGTGTTACATCTACGACCCAGTAATGGCAAAAGTAATTTAATATAGTAATGGTCAAACACACTTTTATATATAATAATTCTACAATAATTCCACGATCGAACAGTAGATTTAGAGGAAATGATTATTGTGTGAGTGGAAACACAAACTCGTCACCAACCCTCCCTTCTCCACGGTCACGCGTGGTATGGCAACAAAGCCAAGATCAGTTTAAAATTTGCTGAAATTTAACTAACTTTCTAACATTCTGCTGACTTATATTCTTGTTTTATTTAGGTATTATTGCGATTATTGTGATACCTATTTGACTCATGATTCGGTGAGCCAAATTTTTATTTGTTATTTTACTCTGTCCAATGCCAGACGATTTTACTCTTCAGCAGCAAGTGTTGGGTCAAACTAGAATCTCACTTCAAATGAGAGTGAGATAAATTATAATCAGACAGCTTTTGTAGAAGCAGGTCATTCCAGAAAACATCCATACCACCCCCCCCCCCCCATCAAAAATCAAATGGTCCGTCCCTAAAGAGTACGAATTCGTGATGTGCAATTCGCGAGAGTGCAAGTCAAAACATAATTTGTGTGCGCTAACAAGCATCAGCTGTGAGTGCTTATTAAAAATTTACGCCAAGTTAACATACTGTGCAAAGAGAGCCAATATTAGCACAAATTAGTGGGCAATCTCATGGCGGTTTTAATGAGAAATTATTAAATGTTTCCGCCCCAAAGTAGCGCAAACTTAAGTGAATCTCATTTTTATTTTGACATGCATTGTATTACACTAGAGCTTCGTAATTGCCAATTTGTGAATTTTTCGTAATTTGTGGCAAAATTGGCTTGATGATATTTTGGAGAAATATTTTAATTTGTAATTTCCCACTAATGTAAGGGCTTCGTACGATAAGTGTTTTGCAAAAGCATCAGATCGTATAAAAGCGTCATCTTTGTCTTCTGTTTCGCTTGTCTAACTGGTAAAAGATTTCTCCCTAATCTCCCCGATCCTGATACATCGAAATATCACGTTGAATTTTGTTGTTTTAATAGCTCATATCTTAAGTTTAAAAGATGTTATTGTTCGCAGTGTCTTTATCTTAGATCCTGTTAGTGGCATGGTCTAAAACCACATCAATAAGATCCCTCTCTTAATTGGGGATCGATTCACTTGGGTTTTTCGTCTGGTTTTAGGCGTGAACCATTTAATATCTGAACAGGGGAAATTTTCCTTGCAAGAATTTTTTTACACTGTAGAAGCTGTGTAGGATTTTTTTTCTATATTTTTATGTACATTGCTGGAGTTTTTTCCCTTCGTAACTGCTTGCATGAATATTTTTTCAAATTGCACTCTGCATGAAATTTTTTTTTGGGGGGTGGGGGGTGGGGGATATTCCACCCCTTCTCCCTCCTAGGATATTTAATGGTCCACCCCACCGCCTCACCCTATTCTTGACCTTGTGGGGGCATCCATTTTTAGGCCGTGATATCGTTACCACGACTATGGATCACAATCGAAATCCCGACATATAAAACTCACTCTCATCCTCAACCACCAACAATCCCTCAATACCCTCAACTATATCCTCACTTGACGACCACTCCGGCTCCTCGTATCCATCATTATCATCATAACTCCCTGTCAATCCCACTTCGGATACCCCGTTCTGAATTTGAGCTGTGCGTCGATGAACGTTCGCCTCTTTTCGCAAATGTCCATTTGATATACTTGACCTTGTTGATTTTCCTCGTAAATTCCTTGTTGTTTGTCCTTGGGTTCTGTGTTGAGAATGACTAGCACCATTTGTTAAAGCTTTGCCATTTTTGTCATATATAGTTTCTCCAGCAAACCCAGCTCTATGTTTTTTGCTTGTAGATGACAATTTAGATTTTCTTTCCTCGGATGTTCCATTGGCAAGATAATTTTGCTCAGATAAACTATCCAGATTCGCTTCTTCTAAATGAAATATTTTAGAGCAATCAGGAGTAATGCCATTAGCACGATCTAAATTTGTGTCTTCCAGTTCAAAAAGTTCCAAATTATTTGCAGTTATCTCTGTAGTGCGATCCAAATGTGGTTCCGAGTCGAAAACGTCAGAATTCTCTGCAGTAACGCTTCGATTCTCGGTGAATTTATCAGTGTGGGAATCTGTTTTTCGCCGTGGTGGTGTCCTATCTGACTTCTGTGAAATAGCCTTCGGCTGAAGTATGTTTTGTTGAATTTCTCCGCGTTTGCGAACGGCATTTCTACGTGGGTAAACATCTTTTTCGCCTCTTTTTAAAGCAGCTGTTTTCGGTTTGGTAGATCGCCCTACAGATCTCTCCTTCATAGTGCCACTTAACTCATCCACGTCACTTGAGATATCTTGAAATTCCTTGAACTCCTTGCCGTTAACAGTGTTGTTACTCCCAATATTCGTGGCTATTAAATCAAACCCCGTCTCCCGCTCCGTAATATAATGCGCTAGTTTTAATAAGCGGTAAAATAACGCTAATGACGCAAAGATAAACGCTAATGAATTAATCACTATTTGCGGAAACACTCCCGAGCACTCCCGAGTACAAAAGAAATCGCTTTCACAATTTAACAATCCTGGCATATTTGGGAAGATTTGCAATTCCATTGGACACAATAAGCCGTTCTCCGGCTCGACGCAACTGTAGTTTATGTATAGCTTATCCAACCCAAGTTCGGTTTTAAATCTGTTATGAAAAATCCATCGTAAAGGGGCGGTGATTATGTTTAAAACCAATAACACTAACCCCCTCAGGGGAGAGGCCCACACCTCTGCGATAATCCCCCTCTCACCTGCCCCACCGCTTGGCAGAATATAACTCGCCAAGGGGAACAGTATAAATAAGATCATAAGCAGACCCGTGATACTTGCAGTCACAAAGATACAACGTTGAAATATTATTCCTAAATCCACACCAATTATTTTAGGTTTATAATAATAAACATAAACAGCTCCGCCATACACCACAAGTTCGCAAAATACACCCAGGAACGCCAAAAAGCGAAGCCAGACGGAAAATCCTTCCGTATTGCATCGAAATTCCAAATCTTTTGCCGTAAAAGTATGTCTAAAGCCAGATTCATAGCTTACATGCTTTAGACAAAACGTCTTGGAGTTTTCGCATTGTACGCTCACAATAGATTGATTTCTAAGCTGATATAATACTCCAATGGATGATAAAAACATATAAAAGAAACAGAATATATCTTCGCCGATTTTCATAGCTTAATATTGTCTATACGGTCTGATATTCATATTTCCATATAGAATATGTTATCCATATTTACGCATGCGTGTTGCACCCGCAAGCAGCTGCAGCGAGGGGTTGTGTATAAACGTTCAATTATTGATCATTTCTGGAGCTTTTCGTGTCTGGCGGTTTGATGATTAAAAGCTTGTCTGATGTATCCCGATTTTGTGGTTTTCAAGGTTGCACTAAGTACTATCGTATCACCAGATGGTTCATCGTCAACCTGCAATTTTAAAGACTTATTTCGATAGTATATTAATAACAATTGATAATAACTTTAATATACAAGGCTCCCCACCAGATCCTTTTCACAATTTTAAACGCATCTATATACAAATACGGTTGATATCTGTCGCGATCACATACTGTTGACAAAACCTGAAATTTTTAGCGTGTAGTATCACATATAGGCTACCGGTTTACACTGCCGGCAGCGGATTGCTTTCAGTAGCGACGTGAAAAGCATCTATCCATACCTTTTACGAACGCTATTTTCAACGGAGAGATGTTGTTTCGCTCAGCTTCTGAAAGTTGAACATTCCGTATCGCATAGGTGCTTTTTCGCGCCGCTAAGGAAAGCTAGCTATCAGGTATAGTGGAAACGTAGCTATTTAGCCACAATCATGACAAAAATTAGCTGGACACTTCGCTGAAAACTGAACATGACTGTTCATATGCACATGTTGCCATGTTTGGAACCCCCGCTCCCCCGTACAATGCTGGTTTTGATATTGTATGTCACTGTGAAACATTGAAAGACGGGGGGAGCAGGAACAGTTTTGTGATCACAAAGCATGCATTTTCATTTTACGCGCGCGCTGTCCACAATAATTTCTGTTTTCAAGTATTCGTTCGCGTTCGACTGTTCATCGTGAAATTTTCTTCAAAAAATCTCGATAGTTAATCTTGCCCTCCATTCTGTCGTCAAGTTGTGTCAACAGTTCCAACACTTCGTCCTCGTTCAACACTGTATTACATAGTTGTAGTACCGAGCGAAATTCTGACAGATCTAGGTAACCGTCGTTTCGTTTGTCGAGTTTCTTGAACGCTCGCCGTAATGTCATCCAGTCATCTGATAACTAGATATGAAAAAAGAGAACAGTTTATAGAACTGATAGAGCTATCCAGTATAAATAAAGTTAGTTTAGTTTAGGCTTCCTGTTGTAACACTGGATCAATAAGAGATGAGCCTTACTGGACCTCTGGGAAGAACAGTTTAGAACTGATAGAGCTATTCAGTATAAATAAAGTTAGTTTAGTTTAGGTTTCCTCCTGTTGTAACACTGGATCAATAAGAGATGATCCTTACTGGACCTCTAGGAAGAACAGTTTAGAACTGATAGAGCTATCCAGTATAAATAAAGTTAGTTTAGTTTAGGCTTCTTCCTGTAGTAACAATGAATCAATAAGAGATGATCCTTACTGGAACTCTAGGGAGAACAGTTTAGAACTAATACAGCTATTCAGTATAAATAAAGTTAGTTTAGTTTAGGTTTCCTCCTGTTGTAACACTGGATCAATAAGAGATGATCCTTACTGGACCTCTTGGTGTGATCTTGACATGAATTTACCGACATAATAAATTCAGATTCAGTTTAGAACTGATAGAGCTGCCAAATATATATAAATAAAGTTAGTTTAGCTTAGGTTTCCTCCTGTAGTAACATTGCCATTGGATAAGTAAGACATGACTCTTACTGGGCCTCTAAGAAGAACAATTTTGAACTGATAGGGCTGTCAATATAAATGAAGTTAGTTTCATTTATAATTTTTGTGACAAAATGGTTTTATCTTCATACTACAATAAATCACCTTTTCTTTTAGTTTGGCTGTTAAACTTGACAATTCTTTGTCGGTGTCTGAAAGCTAAAAAGAAACAAAGATATATAGCGTGTTAGTTTGAGTTTTAGTCCATAATTTTATTATAAAATAAGATGGGTTATATCGTTTTGCATCAAAGCATACCTCAGACTCGCGTTGGTTCATGATACCCTGCATGTTCGTGCCATAACGTCGTCGACGACGTGCAAATGGCTCGAGAAATGAAATATAGTTCACTCTAAATATAAGAATGGTGATTTAAAATAAAGTTCGTATCATTTTACAACCTGTATCAAGTGAAAACCTGTGATAAGAAACTTTACCTTCCATCTTTTTTGTTTTCGAATTTCTTGGCAATCATGTCGGCTTCGTAGTCGCTTATTTCCAGACATAGAATTTGAATTATCTCCTAAGAATAAAAGATAAACTATCTCAATTTTACTGGTACTCCATCATCACCATCATTATCACCATGACCATAATTACCACCATTATCATCACCAGTACCATCATCACCACCATCATCACCAGTACCATCATCACCAATACCATCATCATTACCACCATCATCACCAGTACCATCATCACCAATACCATCATCATTACCACCATCATCACCAGTACCATCATCACCAATATCATCATCATTACCACCATCATCACCAGTTCCATCATCACCAATACCATCATCATTACCACCATCATCACCAGTACCATCATCACCAATACCATCATCATTACCACCATCATCACCAGTACCATCATCACCAATACCATCATCATTACCACCATCATCACCAGTTCCATCATCACCAATACCATCATCATTACCACCATCATCACCAGTACCATCATCACCAATACCATCATCATTACCACCATCATCACCAGTTCCATCATCACCAATACCATCATCATTACCACCATCATCACCAGTACCATCATCACCAATACCATCATCATTACCACCATCATCACCAGTTCCATCATCACCAATACCATCATCATTACCACCATCATCACCAGTACCATCATCACCAATACCATCATCATTACCACCATCATCACCAGTTCCATCATCACCAATACCATCATCATTACCACCATCATCACCAGTACCATCATCACCAATACCATCATCATTACCACCATCATCACCAGTTCCATCATCACCAATACCATCATCATTACCACCATCATCACCAGTACC